GGCAATGGGGATTAATAAACTTCCCCTCTCTGATGAACCACTGCATGAGAAAACCAAAGATCTAGTCTAGCAGTGATAGTATCACACTTGTTACTCCTTTGATTGAGAGCCGCGTCGTAGTACGCTTACGTATAGGCACTGACGTTGGGTGCAATACTGGCGGGTTTTGCAGCAAATCACTCTTATTTTTTTTTACGCAGATAGATTTATTTGGGTTTGCAAGGGAATTATACTATTGAAATATTTCAGAAAGTGCCCAACAGTGCTCCTTCTATTAGCGTGACAAGCTTCCATTGTTGTTTTCATTGAAATATTAACACCATTGTTGTACATGATATTGTAACTAATCTTATAAGTGCTTCATTTTGATTTGGGATAAATGTTTTAACTATGGCTCGGGATTTTCACTGTGGCGTGCTTTTATTGTTACATACCCATACGTATTTTTGTGATGCGACATAGTGAAAACGTGTGAGCATAGTTGGAGCATATACCCTATATAATTTAAAAATCAGCTAGGAAACTAACTTCAAAGTGAAGAATTTTAGTCACTTGAAGGTGTCACCTGGGTCGAACTAAGATATAATAAATATAAGTCAAAGTCAAAAGTAAATGAAACACGTTTAATTTTGGATTACAAACACAAGTGCAGGTACTTAATAAAGCATGGGTCATGATTGATTAGGAATGAACTTAGATAAGAAAATTCAGAAAGTCTAATAACATTAAGTAGATTAATAAAAGAATTAGGATGCGGAGGGTCTGCTTAGAGAGGCAACTAACCTTTAAATTTGTAGAATAAATCTTCCAATTTTATCTTTAACATAAAAAAACGCAAGCAGACCAATATGAGTTTATTGTACTGGATTACTATATTATTGTCTCAATTCGTGAGATCTTTTATGTATGCCCTTGCGCTGAACTGGCCGGCTTGACGTGCTCAGTAAAGGTGCCTACTTGTAGAGACCTGAAGCTAAGTGCTAGTTCCACAGTGACAATATCACATCATTAAGTTTTCCCAAATTGTGGTACTAACCTTTCATTTCGATGACTGTATGATTGCCGAAATGATACGGAAATAGGTTAGTGATGTGATATTGTTTATACAAGCTGAGCAGTGCGTGGGGTCCTAGGTGACATTGATCGAGTCTCTTTATCGATTTGCTCCTTTGTTAATAACTTTGCTACAAAACCGTTTCTTTTCGTGTTTTCTATTTAATGCGCTAGATAATAGCTGCACATATCGAACTGTGTGCTGCAAATGGCTGAAAATGTCTTTTCATGGCCGTGGGGATGCAGCGAGGGGATGGATGAAGAGAGTCTGTCTGTGTCGCTTTGGGACCTTATGCAGTGTTCAACTTGTATTATTTTCTTTGTTTTATTGCTAATATTACGGTTTTCTCTTTTTGTCGTTTTCTATGTCACATTACAAACCATATCAAATGTATTACGGACCGAGCACTCTTTCGGATGCTGACCGGGTTGGTTGTGCACGAGGACCGATTTTAATCCCCCCAGTTTTGAAGACATTCCGGAGCGAAGACCCATTATCTTGTGTCAGAGGGATTATGGAACTGGCATGTCCAGAAACACAATACAACAAGAGAAGGAAGTAGGATTGAAGGTAAACAAGGGATGGGAACATCGAAAACTGTAAATATACTCCGATCTATTCTAGTACTCTTGTATAAAACCTATTGTAAACCGGCTAGATTGTAGTCGTCGTCGCCGGGACGCATAGTCATGTGAGGATTGCTAGATCCGTGATCACTCATGATAAAGCACACAAGGTTCTCAACATTAAATACGTTGCACGGGGTTGATTAGATGTAAATTGCTTTGAAACATCAGCTATAAACCCAAAGCTCTTTCGTTCTCCGGTTGATTGAATGGATGACGGAGTTTGACGTCTCACTCCTTCAGACGTTTAGGCGGCGGGAGCGCGAGAGGGATGACGAGTGAACCCGTCATATTTATATCTCATTGATAGGTAAATCACAGTTTAAAACTCACTAATAATGCTAATAATCTCTTTCAATCTCTTTTAATTTCTTTTTTATCGACGGTGTGATGTATTCGATGTGCTATGTGACGGGAGCGCAAACAAAACGAGGCCATTGTTCAACGATACGATAATAACTTATGCGCTTTTCACATAAAACCTTCCCAACCCTTTTCCTTTCTACAATCCCTGAGCAGCTGGTTCACCATAAGTGTACCTCGCAGAACTTTTTAAACCCCCATGGGTAAAGAAGCTGTGTTGCTCACTCCTCTCCCCTTCCCTGGTGTATAATGGATGGTATGAATATTCACATCAGTGACATGGCCCCTGACCTCCTTGTACATCATAAAATGAAAATGAAATGAAAATATATATATTTATCATATTATTCCTTTATGACACTGACACTTAACTGACTCACAATCTAATCATGATGTATTTTACAGATTTAATTCATTAATGATTAACATCAAGATAATTGAAAGGAATATTCCAATATATCAGTTTCATCTGATAGCTTTTACTTCAACAGACTATAGAAACTATAATGATGAAACATTGAACCGACATGGATTTGAAATTAACGATCCTATGTGTGAAGCTTTATGCATCTGAATTGAAAACGTTGATTGCAGCAATCTATAATGGTTCACACATAGGATTGAGGCGTATATTTTTTGAGTGTGGAAAGATTCACCTACCTGATGATGGTGTTTGTGGGGATTTTATTTTAACTATCGGACAAATTGGGTCGAACGGTCTTCGATTTCAATGAAACAAATTTCGCATAAAAGTTTTTACCATTAAAGAAAATTCTAAAGAAAAGCTATAGAAATGCATCATGGATTTTTATCAAAATAATGTTTTCATGCTATTTTCAAATAACAGACTGTAGTGGACGATGGTAAAGAGAGATGAAAAAACCGATTTGTACCTTCCTTAAAAGTTGTCCTAGCTCGCTATTCTAATATCTATATGCAATCTTCACACTGCCGTACTCTAACGGAACTATCAACTCTATGCTTTTATCTACTCCATCTATCGTATAAAAATTACCACTACAGTCTGTTATTTGAAATTAGCATCTTCAACTATGTAAATCGTTGACTTCACGTAGAAGTAATACTAAAACATATAGTCAAAGTAATGTTTTCATGTTTGGAAATTTATAAGTTTTTTTTTGTGAAATTTCAAGATGGTATCTCAAACCGTTTTTGAGATATGCCCGAAAAACTAATGATTGTTAATATATGCATGAACTCTACCTATGGGCGAAGTTTTATAGAAATTGAAGACCCTTGGCCCAAACCTGTTTGGTAATTTTAAAAATCCCATGTGTGAGTTAGTAGTCGTCGATTGAAGTGATTATTTACAAAAGCAGATACGTCGATTTGAATAGTTACGCTTGATCACAATTTCTGATCAGAAATGTTATTACTAGGACATCGTTGCTTGCTATTTTCAGAATTCACACAAGCGTTGTGCTTGCTCTTATTATGAGAAAAACTAAAATACATACATTCGTGACGGTCTTTGGCGACAGTGTCGTATGACAGAGCCTTTCATATGACATTTTAGTTTGGTGCTGTTATTTGATAGCTTGTTTTGCAAGTGTCGCAAGCAAAGGTAGTCGATTATTACAGCAAATGTGTCGACTAAGGTGACCGCTTACAAGACTGGTTGCAATATTACACTTTGAATCATGTCCTCTTATTATATATAACATGTTATAACTCATCATTAGCATTATGTTATGTTCAGACAATGGATTTATAACATTTTATAATAATTATCGATAAGACTCATATGTTATAAAGGTAGGCTTATAACATGCTGTAACTCTGTAGTTTGAACATAGCATTAGGGGAAAAAAATCAAATGTTTTGTTCAGACTATCACGAAACGGTTTGCCTTCTACAGTCGACGACAGACTGGAGTTATAACATGTGGATGTGTTTTTTTTTTGTAAAAACAATTAGTATAATATGTTGTAACTCTGCAATATGAACAAGGCATTAAACGTTGCATTGTAACATGTTACATTACTCCCCAGTATGAACAATGCAAGTTACGACCGAAGACTTTTGAAGAGTTAAAAAAAACTAATGTGCTCCGTTCGGAGTTGTTGAAACTAGAACTGATTTATTTCCACCTCAAATTATATTTCGATCACACGATCGAACCTACAAATCTACTTACCCTAGCATGGACTCTGTAGTTAGCAACAACGAAACCTAGATGCTGACTCCTGCATAAAATGTGTCCGCTGGTCGGTGCACTGAGTCGCAGCATTCTTAAATGCTGCTGTACCGTGCCTTGGTGGCAACTTGCATTATTCCCATTTTCGAAAAAAATAGATTTTCCATACAAAATCTCAGAACACACTTAGGTTTGGAGGCCAAATCTCGATATCTTTGGCAACACCGAGCAGCTCGACAAAATGTTTTACTAAGATATCAACAAAAATATGTTTGGTTGACGCTGAAAATATGTGACCTTGAGCGCTGATTTTTATACATGAAGGTGCATCATATTCCAGAGCATCGTTTTGCAAAAGATAAATACTCTAAAACTTCATTCACCCCCTGACTATAATAGGTAAATAAATGTCGAAACCCACATTTCCTACTGATTTTCGCTTTAACTCTACCCGAAACTTAACTGCTCATAAAATATTTAAAGATGCTTCAATTTTGAAGACAATCACACACATTAAATATCCCTAATGTGTTAGGGGATGTTCATAAACTACAAATTACATGGGGGGGGGGGGGGTGTTGACAAATATCTATGGTCCATACAAATTTCCAAAAAATGTATTGACGAGCGTCTACGCGGCGGGGGGGGGGGGGTGTTAATATTCAAAAACCAATTAAAATCGGTCTACGTAGATTATGAACAGCCCCTTATGATATGCGGCCGTTTGTCATAGATTCGAAACCTAAACGAACTAGTACCTAATAATAATTATATGTATCCTTTACTATTATCTTCCAAGATGCCTCTAAAGGAACGTTACGGAGTTGACATTACACCTCTCAGCTATGTACCAGGAGGAAGAGTGGAGAAGTACTTGGGAAATTTGGATTTTTTCTTCATTAGAGAATGTACTGCCGTGAAAGAAAATGGTGGCCTGAGTGGATTCGTACACAGCTTCATAACTGAAGTATTAGCTGTAGTAAGAGCTCATGTAACAGCGCTTGGTGGCAACGCAATGGTATCATTTTACATTACAGAACTTGTGTTAGTTGATAATATGCACAAAAATCAGGTAAATCAAGTGATGTAATCTTCCAAGTTCAAATAACGTTACTTTTCCACCTTATTTTCATTTTAGGGTCAATGTTTGATGAGTGCTGGTGGTGACGTAGTATTTGTTTCTTATTACAGAGATGATTGAAATCACCTAATTAGAATGTTTAGTATGACAGACAATGTAGTAAATCTAGGATAGGGCAATATCACAGAATGGCGAATAAAACACCCACGTAGTGGAATAAATTCTTTATTTTGGTAGTTGAGTAACAACTGTCTTAAGTAGTAGTGATGCCATATTTCAAACACGGCCGTGCACGTGCTTAAAAAAGACGAGTGCAAACGCATCCAAAAACTGGTCTAGTAATGATGCATATTGTTACAGAAGACTATCGTTGAAAGATATTGTTGCGGTACGTTAGAAGCGATAGGTTCTTATTGACCTCCATACACAACAATAGGAACCTAAAGCTTCTAACGTACTGTAACAATAGGAGGATTTCCCTTACTCCCTGCTGTGAATAAAGTTTCCTTACTACTAAGATGTTCGTCACCCTTTATACATCACGAATTCAATTTTTATATGTGTATTTTTTGCATAGTAATCTTAATTTTCTGCAACCAATGGGATTTTGTGGTCTATAATTCATTTCATTTCGAAAACTATATAATTTTCAGATAAAAACGTTAAAAAACGAAATAAAAATAAAAATAAAAATTACCCTTTTTGTTTTTTTTTTATAATAGACAAGCCTTGTGTCTCAATGGAATTTCTCTACTTCATGTTTGGCAGCAAATAGGGTGGGTGAGCCAGTAGCTGAGAGACTAAAGGCAATTGATGTATTAAAAATAAATATACGATGTACAGTACATACAATGTTTATACTAAAATGCCATACAATTTTAGAAAACTCGTCCTCCATGAATAGGAATACTGTTTGAGTAGTTGTGGTAGTTGCTACCTTTGGTTCCTTTATAATAGTGGAATGCATTGGTTTCTTATATATTCCACTATTATAGGAACACTACCGCAACTGTAGGTGCAATTGAGTGAAAATCTTAAGGAAAGTAATTGATTTCTGTCATTATTGGACTAATTTCAAGTTTGAAATATGCAAATATGTTTTATTTTAGGAGAGCTACCGATCAAAAATTATGTTAACCGGGTTTTCCTCAATATTCCGGTACAACTCCCATACCACAACTATAGGTACACCACTATTACTGAAACAACTACTCTATACACTCAAAGATAAATTAAATAAAAAAAAAGCTTAAAAAGTAAGCAGATTCCTGCCTCACCTTATTGAGTCCTAGCTATGATTACTTCGGCAGTAGTCATGCATGATTAAAATCGAAACAATCTTTCCAGTATTAAATTTTATTCTTTTTCAATACTGATAAATAATCAAAAAAGATTAAAATTAAATCTAAAATTATTAAAATAGAATCAAAAATGATTAAAATTTATTCAAAAAAAGATAATCTACAATCTAATCATAGCCGGCGCCGGTGGTGTAGTGGTAAACGTGACTGCTTTCTAACACCCCGATGGGTCTGGGTTCAATCCCAGCCGAGGTTGGTGGGATTTTTCTGAGGCATAAAAATCTCTGGTCACGTCTTCCTTCGGAAGGGAAGTAAAGCCGTTGGTCCCGGCCCATGTGTGTTGAATGGGTGCGATATCCTACGCAGGTGTGGAAGCTGCCTTCCTGCACATTCGATTGCCGTCAATGGATGGCAATCGATGTCCGTCGGTGATTGGCACTAGATTGCGGAACAGAGACCGACGTTAAATAAAGGAAAAAGAAACAATCTAATCAACCATGATTAAACTGGGATTAATATCAGATGCTTATTTTTTAGAAAGAGAGTATTAATGTTTAATCATTCGATATGATTAAACTAAGTTTAATGTGAAATTGATTAAATTTCAAGCAAAATGGGAACAGTTTAATTTATCAGTGTATAGATTTATTTTGAAATTTGTCCATTAAGTAGGCTCTGAACCATTTGGTGGATTTTTTAACTTTTGGTTAAAATTTGACCGATGAAAAGTTATCGATTAACCCTGCTATCCGAGCGTGGTTACTTCTGACAGACAAGAAGTTAAATTTTGACAACCTTGGCTAAGTTCTTCTCGAAAACCGGTCAATCGACAGCACAGGGATTTTCGAACATTGAAAATAACTTGCGAAATGTCACTTTTAACCACGAGTTAAATTTAACCCGGCAAATGGTTCACAGCCTTAGTAGAAACTGGTTTCAGATTGTGGCTTTGAAAATCTTCGACATAAAGATTCTTCTTATTATTTGCTTTGCCACTCTTACACGAGCAAACGCCTACTCACATTAAGGTGTTCGCTGTGAGATCCTTATTCTCGTATATCAGCTTCCTCGGAACGTACCACATTGAAACTGTTACTTCACGTTTGCTGTACTGCAGCACACATAAAGTAGCAATTTCAGGTGAAATGGAGCAATAATTTTCGAGATTTGTGTAATTGAAAATTCGAAGTGGAAGTGGATTTGTGGATTTTACAAGGAATCACCTTAACTGTTCTGTGAAGCATTTCCACAGATAGGTATCAGATATAATTTTAGAGCTTTCAGTTAGATCGATGCATACATTTGTTGTATATTGGGTAGCAAGCACCAGGGACGTTTTCTCCGTTTGTCCATTCGACCTTTTGTTTATTCGACCAATTGTGCAATCGGCCATGTGTCCATTCGACGATTTGTTTATTAAACCTTTTGTTCATACGTCCTAAAATCTTCACTCATTGCCAAAAATTCTCAATATGAACCATACCGGAGTCTTACATTGGTCAAACTATGCAGAACAACCTTGTGGAAGACTTCAGCTACAAAAAGTTTTAACTTTGACCTCGGGACGAGGCTCGGTAGCTTAGTGGTTACAATTTCTACTTACTGAAGAGAAGGTCGTGAGAGTTCAAGCCCAGGTCCGTCCTTTCCTTGCTTTTGTTACTTTGTCTTATTCTATCCCCACTAGATTTAAATGAAAAACAGTCTGCTGCTTTACTGGTCGCAAAACCTTACCACAGATAATCCTTATCTAAAACTAGTTCGACCTACTAGCACAACTACCCTTCCCGTGGCAATTGTGCAGATGGAGAGGTAAACTCGGTCACTAATAACAACCCAAAGACCGTAAGGACGTGGCCGGCATCGATCTATAAAAAGAAATAATCATTGAACTTGTACATTGAAGATGAAAATCTAAATCCAAGCTCTATCTATGTGGTTCTCTGTGCAATTTCACTAATTCTGATCAGTAAGTATGTTGTGCATAGTTGTAGGTTTAGACAAGATCTGATATTTGGCGCATATAAATTTAGCAATCGATCATCCATTGTCCCAGGCAGAGCTGTTAATTTTCATGTCATTCGATTGAAGATAAACCAATACAACCATTCAATCAATTCTGCGCAACGAATTTTCTCATGCCTATAATTTGAAGAGCTACTTTCTCAAAAGAACCTTATCGTCACTGTCAATTGAGTTACTCACTATCAATTGATAAACGGCAGTGGATTATGTAAAAAAGTTGGAAGGGTTGTATACTAGATACGACCGCAAGGTTGGCGTTGGATAACGTCTGTTATGTGTTGTACTTAATTGTGTATATTATATTTTAGGAATATTCCTTAATAACTCTTTTGCGATATCTTTCCCCAAAGCGCGTTCGGACAACTCAGGCCTTTTCATTAATTTCTTCTCTCGATTCCGGAAGTGCACGACGTATCTGGAACTACCACACCAAAATGTATGCAGAATATTGTCGGTACTGGATAAGTAGCGGTAACCAGCAGGACCTACGTTGATTTAAGCTTAACACCCGCAGATTGATGAACGCTCCATCACATCACTTCAACCTTTCACATTCTGGCAAGGAAGTCAATTCTAAAACACCTTTTAAATTTATATGGTGGCCCTGAAAAGGGCCGGTTTTTTGTTCTGAGTCGATGATACTAAATTAACCCCCGAATCCGTACAGAGTACGTCCCTGCCGCTTCAGAGCGTAAACGACATCCATGGCGGTGACAGTCTTCCTCTTCGCATGTTCGGTGTAAGTAACGGCGTCACGAATAACGTTTTCCAGAAATACCTTCAGCACTCCTCTAGTTTCTTCGTAAATGAGACCGGAAATTCTCTTAACTCCACCACGACGAGCCAAACGACGGATTGCAGGTTTAGTGATGCCCTGGATGTTGTCACGTAACACTTTTCGGTGACGCTTGGCTCCTCCTTTGCCAAGTCCTTTTCCACCCTTGCCGCGTCCAGTCATTATCTAGCATGATAATTGTAACGTCGATGAAGGTTGAAACGAAAGTGAACAAAAATTCCAAATTTTGGCTGTTTTATACCTACTCGAGGGTTAAATTCTTTTCGTTAGTTGTTGTGTTCTTGTTCTTTCATCGTTTCTGATTGGTTGAACACAGAAAACGCATGTTATAAAACAGAATGGAAGTGATTTTTATTTTTTATTCCACAGTGTGAATACACATCACAACCAACAAAATGGCTCAGCGACCGCTCGCAAGTTCACTGGAGGAAAGGCTCCTCGCAAGCAGTTGGCAACGAAGGCCGCTCGCAAGACCGCTCCAGCCAGCGGAGGAGTAAAGAAGCCCCATCGCTACCGGCCAGGCACCGTCGCCTTGCGTGAGATCCGTCGCTATCAAAAATCAACCGAACTGCTGATCCGAAAGTTGCCTTTCCAACGTCTGGTCCGTGAAATTGCCCAGGACTTCAAAACCGATCTGCGCTTCCAGAGCTCAGCTGTTATGGCTCTGCAGGAAGCTAGCGAGGCCTATCTGGTCGGTCTGTTCGAGGATACCAATCTGTGTGCCATCCACGCCAAGCGCGTCACTATCATGCCGAAGGACATCCAGCTGGCTCGTCGTATTCGTGGAGAACGCGCTTAATTACCCCGTCTAAATCTTAACGAAACCGGCCCTTTTCAGGGCCACCACAATAATTCAAAAGAGTTGAAGTGACCTTTAAAATTTAAAATCGTTCGTTCCGTTCTTGTCTAGATTAAGTAACGAAGTAGAACGTATGCGGGGGTTTGTTTTCGAGATTTTGAAAACAAACACAGCCGGGTCCGGTATATGATTTGGAAATGAATTTCACTTTATTTTCATATCAAAGTGAAAAGGTCTTTGCCCAATCCACTAGAAAATAACATATGGTACTTTCTAAGTAAATTTTATTATGTTTTCAAGATCCTCGTTGCTAAGAATTTTAAAATTATTTTTCGAGGTAAAATATGGCTCTGCGAAAATTCAACTTTAGAAAATTAATCGTTAAACTCTTTCTTGATAATGTTGTGGCCCTGAAAAGGGCCATTTTTCCAACGCGCTCGGCGTAGTTGCCCTTGCGGAGTAGACGGTGAATACGACCGACTGAGAACTGCAGCAGCTGGGCATTCCATGACGGCGGCCCAGTATACCGGAGCACTGGCACCAACGCACTCGGCGTAGTTGCCCTTTCGCCCCCAGGCTCTGCTGCCGCTGCTCTGCTTCCGCTGCTCTGGTACTGCTGCTCTGCTGCTCTGCTGCTCTGCTGCTCTGCTGCTCTGCTGCTCTGCTGCTGGGTCGACGATCGGATAGACAATGATGGAACGGGCGACCTTGTTGGACGCATTATATAGTAGAACAGAAAATATCAGAGGTGTCAGAAAAGTTGTCGACTTGATGTTAGGTCAATTTAAAGTCAGTGGCAATGACCCTAGAAAGGGTTCTGGAAGCCCCGGAGGAAGTGTACAATCTCCAATTTCAACAAAAGCTGGTCATGCGGTAAATCAAAATTTTTAGAACTTCATAGACATGTCATTGGGGGCCATTTCAATTCAACAGAGTAATGGTTACCTCAAGTTGACATACTGAAATTTTCAAAAATTTGTAGACGATTTATCAGACACCCTTCCATTTGATAATAGTGGAAATGGTCATGGCCTTGGAGCAGGTTCGGAGGCGCCGGGGGAAGTGACCAATCTCTAAATTCAACAATACCTAGTCAGTGCTACATATCGTATTTAAATTATCAGAATTTTATGCACATGCCATATCAATTGAGCAGAATAATAATGGCCACCCAATGTCCTTGGAAAGGTTTCAGAAGCCCTGCAGGAGGTGCCCAATCTCTGGTTTCTACAAAAACTAGTCTACCAAAATTTTGAAATGATGTAGACAATTCATCAGACCCCCTTCCAATCGAGAATTGTAAAATTGCCCACCCAATGTCCATGGAACAGGTTCCGGGGCACTTCCTCTGGGCTTCCGGAACCGGTTCCAAGGAAATTGGGTGGCCATTGCCTTTTGGCTGAATTGAAATGGTCTATAATGAATTGTTTCTTAAATTCAGACACGCGACATGACTAGCTTTTGGTGAATTTAGAGACCATTTCCTCAGGGGCTGTCAAGATTGTTGTTACAGGGGCCTTGTGTAGTCATTGTAACTCTGCCCAATTGACAGGGTGTCTAATGAATTGTCAATAATGCGATACTATATGTTTCAAAAACGAAACCATTGCAAATTCACGACGCGCTTTCAATGTTTGAATGTTGATGAGCATGCAGCGTGCTTCATAAGATGGAAGAGAAAATCTTGTCCAATCTAAGTTACGAAGAGCAAATAATAAGAATTGCTTTTGTACTGATTCTAATCGTTCCTCACGCATGAATGAAAAAGGTGACCAAACTATGCTGCAATATTCAAGTATTGATCTTGAGTGTTCACTCGGCTGTCGACAGAAGCAGACCACTCTCAATGTGTGTCACGCGATCGTCTGTTTACTCGGCAGCAACCATTGTGTGGTCCTCCTCATACTCATTGTTCTTCATCAGCAGTTCTTTAAGTCGAACCGTTTCGTGATGAATGTGTGAGTGCTGACCACGTTTTGCGTTCATTGCTACAATGGAAGCGCTCTGGCCCTCGTTGGCGCATCCGCCATACAAGTAAACCACTGGAAGCGGCTCCCGTTCTGGTAGAGGAGGCTTATTGGATAGCGGAAGATAAAATGTTTATTGTGTTGTACCTTTTGACTATAGTTTTAAGATGTATTGTAAAGTGAACAAGAATACTCGGCTCTGTAACGTTAATTCGGTCGAGCTTTATCAAATAAATTAATAATAATAAAAAAGTTTTGATCTTACATATCAAATGTACAGTGATTTTATTGTATACGGTCATGAAAGTTGTAACTGAATCGTTTGATAATGCCAAGCATGTTATTTGCTTTGTTGATAATTGTTTTAAATGCTAGTTTTAAATCAACTATAACTCCTAAATCCCTAACTTGTTGGCGTGTTTACGCCAGCGCGCTGCTACTGTAATCAGACAGCAGCTCAGTTTCGACTATTGCGCATGGCATCGAGATGCGCAATAGGCGTGACAGATATTCACCACGATGACAGGTTAGGTACTCAGGTATTGGTGAGTAGAATAGAGGAATGATTTGGCAGAAGAGATTATTCAGTACAAACATGGGAGAGTGAGAGAGGAATTGGACTGATAACAGGATTGATAGGAGAATGGGTAAACAAAATAATCTAGACAAAAAAAAGTAGAAAGCAAGTGAAAGAACGCAGGTTGCTGAAAGTAATTACTAAATTTACTACTGAAACATTATCCTAAATATCTAAATTCCTTAACGCTTTTTTCTAAAATTATCATGGCTTAATGATAAAATCAAGTGAAATTTACTTAATCTAATATGTTTTTGGACAGGAAAGCATATGATAAATGGATTGCATATTTCCAACCTAAAACTAATATTCTTAAACCTACATTGTTTCAGGTAATTGAATCCTGCTGAACTTATACAAATATTTATAACTATATTATAGTACGGTGAATTAGTACGGTAAAGAAGAGGTATTGACATACCATCAGGCAAACGAAACACATAGTACGGGACTAGACGTAAGCTTGTGCATGAAAACATGTTAAAAAACAGCATAACACACAGAAGCGAATGATCGAGTTTTTGGTTTAACTGCTAGATAACTGTTAAAATGAAGCATATTCTTTTAATAATAATCTTCCGGATAGTAAATCAACCCCAGTACCGGTCGTTTTATTCCCGGGATTATTATTGCGGAATTTTCCGAAAAGTTGGCAATTTGTCAACATCTAACTCGTTCACACTTTTCTTCTGCCTTGATATATCACTTTTGACCAAGGGGCTGCTAAGCCAGCATTTTTCGGTTTGCCGCTATTTTTCAGTCACACACTTACAACCAACGCAAAACAAACAAATGCGGTGTAAGCAACAGCTGTTAAATATGCAATACAGCCGCAAAGTTTGTATGTGTTGTTTGTTATGGGCCATAAATTTATAGACCAGTTAAGAATGTACTGTCAAATTTGTGAAATCCCATAGTGGAAACATTTGATGTCAGTCCCGTTCTTTTGACGAATCGTCTCTTCGACTCACTATCCCATGTCAAGGAGAACAGGTCTGGCGATGTGAATTTCTCTCGTCTCTTTAATTCTGTTACTGTTCTCATGCAATAGCGAGTGTGACGTCAAACACGCTGTTCCATTTCCATTAGACGTCGACGAAACCCTTGACATGGATCACTGCCTATTGCTTTTTCACTTTATAGATGATTTGAACTATTTACCCCCATGGAAAAACCCAGGTAAGCTTTTTAAGGCATTAAATAACAGTCTTTTCCAACCTTTGTTCAGCCTTCTAGTTTTTGCATTTCGGGATTCGAACCGGCAGTCGCTGATTCACAGGCATCAATCATACCTACTGGACCACTAAAACATATGTGTGGCAAAAGGTATGATCATTAACTTGAAACACGTCAAATTTAAGTTGAATAACAGCAACCGTAAGAGTATTATAAAGCAATGCAGAATTGTAAACAACAACTGGAGACAGTAAAACATTCCTATCATTTTCAAGTGTAGGTTTCCAATCGTCATGTGGAAGCTGTTTTAGTGCCATAATTGAGTTATATTTTTGGTATTCTGTCTGAAAATTCAGTACAATATAGCAGTCAAAACACAGATATACAAATGTTAATGCTTTCGACGTCGTCGCAGCCCACTTCTACCTGGAGCTATTCCTAACAAGCTAGCTCCTATACCTTGTATCTACTGCTGCCGCTGCTTGGGATTAGAAAGGTAGGCAGTGAATTTAGAAGAACTAAAATGCCGGAAATGCAACGACCACAGTTAACAAATCAGGGTATCAAAATATTTGTAGTGCATTGCTGATTTGTGGAGTAGTGTTAAGCCATGTTAAGCTTAAATAAGGCTTATTCAATCTTTAGATCAGCTAACTTATTGAGGTTGAATTATGGGGATACAATTAGCTTCACATACTACTAATCAACTATATAAAGGGTGATACGGTCAAAATTTGGTCAAGGGAAAACGCGTGTAAATCGGTGAAATCGTTTATTTAAAAAATCAAATTAAATTTCTTTTTCAAGTTCAATTAGTATAAAATTCAGGAAAAATATTCAGTTAGGCTTCCGCTTTTCCAAATCCGAATTGCCGGGCCTTACGCTTGACCCCTGCCATCAGATTTTGTACAGCCACCTTGTCCACCTTCTTCGCCGCAGAAAGCCAGTTTGCCTTGAACTGCTGCTCGCCCTTAGCAGTTTTTTAGGTCTTCTTTAGGTTCCGCTTGACAATAGCCCAGTATTTCTCAATTGGGCGGAGCTCTGGCGTGTTGGGAGGGTTCTTGTCCTTGGGAACCACCTGCACGTTGTTGACGAAACAATTATACGTACTATAGTATTATAGTATGCTACGATATTTTAGTTCAAAATCTACCAAACGCAGTCAGTAAGAACACGTGATATGTATTTTTATACTCATTATTCTCGAAAACTAAAGAAGCACTCCGATAGAATCAACTTTTTTCTCCATTCGATAGGCTGAACTGCAGCACCGTTGAATT